ACATAATCGACAGAATAATCTATTTATACCAATCGTAGTGAATTGTAGGTCAGCAGTGACAAGACTAGAACTGCATAGACGTTCGCAGAACTAATGATAAATGGACCACCGAAGCTGGGCAATCCATTTGTAGCCAATGTTCCATGATAAATCATCCATGCTGTTGCAATGCACTAGCTTTATTGCTTCACTCGCAATATTATTTCACATTTAAATATTCAATTTATTCCTATAAAATTGAATATTTTTCTTCCATTCGTGCAATAACTGTTAATATTATATATAATTTATTATTCGTCTAAATGAATGTGTGCTATAAAGTAATTCAAAGAAATAGTCGATGGGGGTTCTTAAACAATAAGAGTATTTAAGTGTTTGATATCATCACTGTTCGACTATCTTAAGATTGCAAACACTTAACTGACTTATGCTATAGTAGAGGAAAAGCACGTAAATTTTAATAACAATTTATAAACTTACAAAATTACAAAAAATACTAACAATATCTTTACTCAATAAATATTAATAAACGATAAGACTGTTTGTAAAGATGTAAGTTTATGAAATAAATATACAACAAAAACTTTATAACAAGCCTCTCATGGGGAGGATCAAATATGACTTGTTATAAAGGTTCCCTCCTTATAGAAGTTTGCAATAACTTGTAATTTAATATATGATCAAAGACATTAAAAAATTACACTTTATTAAAGGCCATTTTAGTGAGGGTCTTATTATCGAGGTTCCATTGTACTGCCAAAATTTATATTGTATTTAGTTATTAATTAAAATATCATGTACGCCAACATACGTAGGTTAATTTAGATTTAGAAAAAATATAAAAACTAAAAAAAAAATCAGATATGATATATGCTCAACCAAATCTATAGACACAAAAACTTAAAGAACGCATCATATAGTATTAATATGTTCGGTTTGATGTGCATACTTATTACTCATTTTAAGTTTTTTTTTTACCATGCGAAGTTAGGCGAGGACCTTTTATATATTGTTATTTTAATAAATACTTAAATATTTGAACAACATAATACAGGCCATCAATCTATTATCTAACCTCTAACCAAAAACTTTAAATATTATCACAATAGCAAATAATGAAAAAAAAACTATTTTCAAAGAAAACATCTGAATATGATTGAACGGTTGGAGACGTTTAACAGAAATTGCATCATGTAGAAACCGCAGCACTTAGTGTAATGCCAACATAACAACTTGAGAAAGCTTTTGCTTGTCGACGTCTCGGCATCAAGCTGCTTTTATTGCTGGTAGGTTGGTAGCACTGATCCGCGACCAAATGTAACGTTTTCCTGCATTGTCTGTTTACATTTTATTTGTAATGACTGTTAAAAATTTTGAGTCTTACTGCAACAAAACAGCTATTTAATACATGCGTACCGGGTGTACCCCCTCCCCCCCTCCAATTATAGAGGACAACTTAATTCAGGTTCGAGACATTAAACACTACTGACTTTGTCAGGGTAGCACCGACAACGCACTGGCACAGACAATGGAATGAACCAATAAATAAACAATAAACAATCGAATATTACAGTATTGTATTGTCTGTGGTACTGGTTATTATTTTTCAAGCAGTTAGATAAATATTAACACTTAACACGTATTTTATAAAAAAAACTATGCGAAAATTCTCCCGTATGCTTTTGACTTTAAAACACAATGCATTACATTTTAGTAACACTTATTTTTGCATGACAAATTTTTGTATTTTTTTACAAAAGGCATTTTTACATGTTACATTCTTATGGTGACAAAGTCACTTGTAAAATCTGTAGAGCTAATAATGATAATGATTTTTAGAAACCCGTAAGCCACACACCAACCGCAAACCTAAAAGGTCTCGATGAGAAACTTCATATACAAGTTTTAGTATTTTAAATAAACCCTCTCTTAAAATTGACATTAAAATATTGAATTTGCGGAGGATTTTGCATTATTCTTCCTTTATAATTTGTTGTCTATTTTTTCTGAGTTAAACTTTTGATTCTCATATAAAATTTTATGTTCACATCACGATTAAGTTATAAGTTTTGATTCGGTAACACAATTTATTGAAAATGTACAACTGAGTGTTGTCTTTATAATCCATGTACCTATGCTTTACACTACAAGATCCACGTTATTCTCTTATGTATTCTCATCCCGTTGCGAAGTACGGTCAGAACTGGTGACCGTAAAGACCTTAGGTACAAATTAAAACTCGATTCCCCCAGCAAGAGGATGATTTGAAAAGAAGGATCTTCCCTTACGTTAGCCCATTCCATTGACATATCCAGTTTCTCGTACGAATTCAAGGCAAACTGTGAAATCTTATTCATACCACACGACTGCCGTGAAATAGCATTTACCGATGTACGACTGGTAATATCTTCACATCAAATATTTATATTTTCTTTTCATCGATGTAACCTTAACCTTAATATAAGATTTTCGTGTAAATGCCTATACGTATAAATACACAAAAAAGGACGAGAAAGTTCCTTTCAAATAATAATACTTGATTGTTTCGTGTTAAATTTGAAAAATGCTTTCTTTAGAAAAAACTAGAAAGTAAGGTATTGAATTTTTATTTTATACCTATTGTTTGTCTTTTAAATGTTTCTTTTATAATAGTTTGTCAATCATCAATTTCAGAAAAGTGTGTAGAACTATTTTTCATAGGTTCTAGCTCGGAATTGATTTCTACATAACTTAAGGCTAGGTCTAAAGGTGGTCACAACGTTACCACTTCAATAAAATCAATTAGTGATTGGCGGGATTTGAACTCACAACCTCGGGACCGAAGTCCCACGCTCTACCAGGAAACCAGCCGTTCGGGGGATTTAATTTAACTTGTATATTTCGTAATAGTTCTATACGGGCATATCGACCTATTACTTTTGTACATTCGACAAACTGCTTTAAAAACTTATATTTTAAATAAATCCAGAACTATTAAAGCACAAATAAATACTACATTCATTGAAAAAAATAAAATAAGAGATGCATTGCAATACAAATATTTTTTATAAAATTAATATATAAAATAATAAATTATAAGTTTAACTAAATAAAAAATAAAAATAATAGCAAGATTGCTTGTCAAAGACACGAGCTGTGAAAGATTAATACGTCTTTGACAAAATTACTTGTCAAATTGTAAGGAAGGAGCTGTCGACAAAGTAAACACATGTTTTGGAGTCGGAAAAGTTGTAAATCTTGACTTGAACACAGTTAACTCACTTTTCAAGAACTACATCACTAATAATAAGTAGACTAACATTCATATTTTTATAGATTTTTAATACGTTTGTTTAGTTTTAACTCAATAACTAACAAACAACTTTGGTTTGGATTTACTTATTTAATTTAAGAAAAATAACGGTATTTATTCATTGGTAAGGTTTATTTTACTCAAGTAAATAGGTTTCAACTTACAACGTTTTCATGGACCTCGAAATACATGGCGATGTGTTATTATCTGGTAATAAAGTTTTCGTTACATTGTAAACAATGTTTCTGAGACTCAGAAGTCTTACTAGAATAACATTTCGTATAAGTCCATGGATATAACTAATCTTCTTTGGCAAAAATAAAAAACGAAAAATAAATTAAAATATGTCTTATAACACTAGAAACATAAATTTACACATTGATTAACATAGATTTATACAAGACGGTAAAGACATATTAAAGATGATAAGGGCATTCAATTTCAATTAGACACTCCAATATTAATTTAGATCCAATTTATGGTATCCTAGTACAGTATTTTAATTTATTTTCCGAGAATATGATATAATTAATTATACTTATTACAATTACGTTTTATACCATTGTATATTAATCAATTTGATTACTAAATTTATCTTGCTTTTCTTAATTAAAATAAGATTTTTAAAGCTTCAAACAAATACAAACATTTGTCAAACACACACTGATAGAATCTACACTAATGACAACATCGTACTTGCTGTGTAAAATAAAATTCTTTGCTCTTTAAATGTTCAAAAGTGAAAGCTAATTTTAAATGTGAGGGATTAGCCTAATGGTCCGACACGGCTCCTGGCTGCTTAGCATATGCTGATAGCAAGCCTCCTCAGCATCAGGCTAGCATTTAGCTGCAAATGGTCACGCTTCATGCTGATATTTGCATAAACTTAAACTCGATTGCATAAAAAGACCGGATTTATTATACAAAGTCGTATCAGTAATGGCAAATTTTGTTTAGGCAAACGTGAAATTATTTTAAAGAGTTCAAGTTTTCATTTTTTTTTATCATTTTAATCTTTAACCTGCGAACTTACTCACCAATTTATGTTTGCACAACATTTTGGACTGGTTTTAATAGGTTCTTATTGGTACTACCTTGGAAAAGTTTTTTTTTACATTGATCAAGGCTAGTTGTGGAGGAAGTTGCGGCATACCTTGGACAAAATACATAGGTGATTGCCGGGATTTAACCCTAAAATTTCGAAGACTAATTTAAATCTTTACCCAGCTGTCCAAGATCATCGGTCTTTAAATAAATGATCCTGGCCAATAAGACAGCTGACCTTTGACGTAACAAAGCTACACAGATCATCTTTCAACATTCTACACTCATTCTATGCTCATATTTAAAATTAAAAACGTACCTAAGAGGCGTCCCCATCTCAATTGACAATTATAATCATAATAATAAAAGTATGCATTATAATAAGAATATTATGTATTTAAATCTAAGCAGTTGAATTCATCCTGGTTGGATGTGTGTATTATTGTACCGGTTGTCTATCACAATTAACTTACTTCTATTATAAAAATGAAGTTTAGAAAATAAATGCATTATTGTCGTATTTAATCATCAACTTTAATCTTTGTTAAATATAATTGTTTTATGCTGCTTAGTATTTGGTAAATTTTGCTTATAATAGTTTAATATTACATCCTGCATTCGATTTAAGCTAATTTTTATTTTAAAATTTAAAAAGTATACTTACGACATGCTTGAAATTCGTCTTCCCCTTTTTCGCAGTCTTTTTGGTAGTTACAGACGTCATGGCTGGATATACACTTGCCCTCACTGCAGCGAAACATACCGGGCCCACACGTGGAGGAGCCATCTAAAACAAGAACATACAGTAAATAAAAGAGCTAACTACATCAGAAACAAATTGGGCTTTGACAAGCCTATTGTAACATGACCATACAAAGAATGGAAGAATCAAATGTATCAGGATCATATTGTACTTTTAAGAGCCAACCTTAACATGAGCGTACAGTAAATACAAGGGCTAACAGTATCATGAACAAATTGTTATTGGATGAGCCTATTGTAACAGGAACTCAGTAAATGGAAGAATCAACTGTTTCAGAAGCATGTTGTGATTTTAGGATCCAACTGTATCAGGAACATGTTGTCATTTTAGGAGACAACTGTAACAGGAACATACAGTAAATTGAAGAATCAACTGTATCAGGAGCATGTTGTAATTTTAGGATAAAAGGTAAATAGAACATACAGTACCGGTAAATAGAAGAATTAGCCGGAACAGGAAAATACAGTGAATGGAAGAATCAACTGTATCAGGAGTATGTTTTGATTTTAGAAGCCAATTGTAACAGGAAATTACATAACATGGAAGATCCAACGGTATCAGAGGAGCGACTTGTAACAAAAACATATGGTAATTATGAAATACAGTTAAATAATAGTAGGCCTATTAATGTACATTGTCTTTATTGCTTTATGATAATTTTCCATTATTAGCAAACGTCAAGATACAATATAAAATATATACATGTGTATGAGATAAAATAGCTGTAGATACAATAGTAGTAACTTGGTTCATTTATCTCAGGAAAACCATCAAAGACCAACGTTTTTCTTTACACTACATGGTATAAACATGTAAAAAATAAATTCACAGGAAAGATCTAAACTATAGAACTAGTTTCAAAAGAAATAATTTTTAAGTAAACAGTTTTTATCACGCTACATCGAGTAAAACACAAAAGATCAGTGGTAACGTTTTAAAAAGATTGTTTTAACCTACTATTAATTATTTTTAAACGAGGGGGGTTATAGGAAACGTTAAAATTAATTTTAAACCACTCATTAAGCTTGCACTAATAATCTTACTAATATTATAAATCTGAAAGTTTGTGAGTTTGTGTGTGTGTGGCTCAATCACGCATAAACTACTGGACGGATTGGGCTGAAATTTGGCATGATGATAGCTCACATTCCCGATTAACATTAATGCATATTTTTATCTCAAAAATATTTTTGGGCTCCGCCCCAGTGGCTATGTAGTTCCCCATGTTAACCTTATGAGTATTCATATTTAAAGGGAATTAAAGAATTTAGTCAGCTGTTTCAATTTTACAAGTTGGTTCTATAATATACAATAGTATTAAAAAGTTATAAGGTTTCCCAACAGGGTGCAGCACTATTATTTTGTTTTTGCATATATGACAACAGCTAATGTGAACTAAGCAGCAAAAAAAAGCTGTGATACACAATGAGAACTGTCAAAGTAAGATTGTTTACAGTTAGGTTTGAGTTTTTAATTTAATGAATAATTTGTGATATTGTGCGAATGTTTGATAATTTATTTATTTTTTCTATTGTTTAGGTGCAGTGGTAGAACATTATGGCAATGGTAGATGTTTTATACTATACCAAACCGTAAATTTATGAACCAAATTTTATCAAACTGTGTCCTCCCCCCATTGCAAACGCAAAGCTTGAGTATAACTGCAATAAGCATTTTATACTTATATGCCAACCCCGTACGAAGGACGGGTGCTCTGCTAGTACACATATAATGGGGGTTATTCCCGTAAACGTTTAATTCTGCTGGAAAAGAAAGCATAAGACTAAAATATGCTCACAATTAATTTTCAGATAAACCAGAAATCTCATACGAAATTTTGTATTGAAACCATAAGGATTCTTGCACATTAAAGGACTCTAAAAAGCTATATATTTAAATCTGTGCACACTTTGTGGAGTTTCCCTTTGTGTAGTCACAGTATGGCTTTGGGGTTAAGCTGTGTCTTGTGTGGAATAACGGATAAATACCGATAAAAGATAAGTCTTTGAACAGATTCTTCCGATATTGACGTACTTACGATCAAGCCGGTTTGAGGATACATTATTGTCTTTTGTACAAAGATTGAGCTGGAAAATCGGTATCGTGGGCCATGAAATATATTTAAACGATGGGACTTAGTATTAACAAATATTTTAACTATTAAGGCGAAGAACTATTAATCTAAACTAAAAAGTTATATCCAGCATAGATATTTCGAGAAAATCTACCCCATAATCTATAGATTACAACGCGATCCAAAAATTCAACGTAAGTATATTGTGCTGGACTTGTTTCAATGTAAACACGTCTTAAAGTAAACATAAGTTATAGTTAAAAGTGTCCGTTGCAATTAGCAGTTAAATTATAATTATGGGTAAATGAATCCAACATTAATTGACCTTAATTCAAAATGTAGACTAGAATTTATATAAACCTAAATAGCATTATGTTTAAGAGAACTTAGCTTTGCTGCTAAGGGAAGGGAAGGTGTGATTTTCACTTAAAAGTGAATAGTTTTGTTCAAGAAGAAAGACGATTACAATTCTGTTTTTTTTTCTTCAAAGAATTTGTATTATGAAGTTGACAAAAATAATAATTATAATGGAGGTGACATCTCCGAACATGTGTTTCGGTGGTCATTCCTGAAATGTGCCACCCTTTTTGCTCCAATGATTAATCGTACCTTAGCACGCTGCCAGGTACAGTTTTTCCTTCCTCGATAATGGATTTTCACGCTAAAAGAAACACAAAGTTTTAAATTTCATCAAACATCATTAAAAGTATTTAAAAAATTGTAGTAGACACATCTTGTTTTCATCATATATTGTTTAAAAAGTTACTCGTCCACTATATTTTACATTAAGAATTGTAGATAAACACGGTATTATGTTTGATAAATTAATTAAGTTTAAACAAGCAAAACTTTAATGATAATCTTTGATTGTTACTCGTAAAACTATTACAAACAACTCAATTTGGTTAGCTCTTCAATTATTTATTTCACCCGTTTAGAGGAGTAGTAATACTGTAATAGCTAACATTTTTGTTTCTCGGGAATTTAACTTACATTTTTTAAACACACAAACAAATAGTAGTTTGCCCCCTCTTCCATTTGTTGTTCTGCTTGTTTCACTATGTCATTAACAAAAAAAAATTAAAAAATAAGATTGATCTTGTACTTAGATCTCACAATCAAAAGTACGGCATTTGCTTACCTAGGTAAGAACATCAACAAAATAACTTGATGTTGCCTGGCAGTTTCAAGCGAAAAGCGACAAGTATATACCAGAACTTGGAGGAGCATACTGGACTAGTGGCAAAGCGCTGGGCTTCTGAACACAAAGTCCTGGGTTCAAATCCCACCAATCACCAATGGATTTTATTTACCTGATGATGTTGCGACCCTCTAAAGTTATGTGTGAAACTGTTCCGAGCTAGAAGATGTGAAGGTGGACAAAAAATACGAGAAAATGTTCAAATGTACGAGAGATTCAGATGGGCAGGCAAGATTGAAGATGTCGCTTGTTTACTATGCATCAGTGCGAGGGACAGTGCCAAGGGAAATACAGTGTCACTAAACATCACGATACGAAAATCTAGCAGTCGTGGCTATACATACGGTATGTACAACTTGAAATGTACCGAAACTATCTCAAGTGTAGACCGGATAGGAAAAAGATTGCATGCAAAACTATGTCAAAGAAGATAACGAGAAGTAATTTATTTTTAGTTGAACGGATTTGATTATATGTATCGTGTGCTGAACTTGTATAGGAAATCTCAAATTTCAAACTTTAAAAGTCAAAGGTTTATTCCAAAATCTATTTATTTATTTAAAATATAGTTCATTTACGTAGATTTCTAGTTAAAGATATTTCAAAATAATACAAGTTTTTTTTTGAAACAGAGAATGTTGTGTAAGTTTATACAAGACGTCTACCTTTCAAAATCCATGAACCAAAATACAATGAATTTAATTTATTCAAACTGAAAAAAACTAGTTTAAATGTATCTGGAACTTACACAGTTTCAAATTTAAAACTATTCATGTTATTTTTATTATGTCCCTTTCTTCACCACCGCCTCAATTACTTTTTTTGTGTTTTTTGATTGGTTATTTTTTGAATGTTGTATCATAACTTGCTGCTATACAGTGCATATACTTGACTGCTACTCTCTGTAGTGTATTCCAACTTCGGTTAGGTCTTTGTGTATTGTTAATTGTTATGTGTTAAGTTTTTTTTTTCACCTGAAGACTGCTCAGATTCCCGACCCGAAACGTTGTGTATTGTTTTTTACCATTGAGAAGAAAAATGTCCGCAATAAACCTTTGAACACTTAAACTGTTGCACATAGCATAACATTGTAAGCGGAAACAAGTTCAGGTAACCTCATTAGTCGGAGGGTGAATTAAGGATGAAAGCTATTGTGGAAGGCCAGCAGCTTCTGTTGAGGATGTTAATAATGCTGCAGGATGAAGAATTAATGGCAAGTCCTGCTTGCTAGACTGTAGCCGTTGCATTCAGTAGAGAATGAATAGAATAGTTAAATTTACGTTTAGCTACAATGAGTAGTGTGGTGTATAATTCAGTAAGATCATTGTTGTCCTCAATATTATTGTTCAATAAATTGATTGATTGATTGATTGATTGATTGAGGATGTAAGTTTGGATACATGGTGATTATTATTGGCCTAGCAATGGATGACAAATGTGAAAATACTAGAATTATTTAATATTAATTTGTTGAATTACCGAACATGCAACCCCATTGGTGTCGTCTCAAACCAGACATTGCTGTTTTCATGCAGCCTCATGTAATAACTTGTAAAGTAATATCACTGGTGTCACCATTAGCTTACCAAAGCAGGAAACATCATATTTAGATCAGCTATTAGCCTATGAGACCAGAAATCTTTAGTGATAGGTGTTCCAGGTACTGAAAGAATTAGGGAAAAAATAAAAATTAATAGGCTATAAACAATGAAAATAACTATACAAATAAATTTAATATACAAGAACGAG